AAAAGATAAAGAAATACTTCATAAAAAAATAAAATTAATTTCACTTTTTTTAAAAAAATAAGTACAAATAAACTAAAATATTTTAAATAAAAAATCTTTAATACTTAAAAATTATATATTATTATTTGATAAATAAAAAACATAAGAAAAAAATTAATATTGAAAAATATATTAATTACTAATTTATTTTACAAAAAAATTTAGACGAATAATAAAAAATAATTAATTTCTATATTTCATTTCATATTTAATATTTCAAAATAGCTTTATTAAGTTTCTTTTTAAATTTTTTATAATTATTAGTTAAAATTATTTACACATTCTTCTTAATTCTATTAATTTTTAAGGTTTTAAATTATACATTACTAAAGTTGTGACTTATTAAAAAAATAAAAAATCTAAAAATATAAAAATATAAAAAATATACAAACTAGTGTTCCAATTTTTTATAATAACTATTGTATTATTTAATAAATTTTTTTTACAAATTATCCATTTCTGGAGCTTGATTTGAGCTTAATTTAATTAAAAAACATTTTGTAAAATTATGCATTATTTTGGTTTCCAAAGCCTTTTTTATGTATTATTAAATTTTTTTTTTTTTTAACTTTTTGCTAAAAGTATTTTTCGAAATCTAATTTTTATATGATGAGATCGAATGTTTTTTAATCTTAAATTTTATTTAAATATTTCATTTTAAAATCTTATAATGAAAAATTATATTCATTATAATTTATTTATTCTTATCGCATCATTTTTTATTTATTTATGTTCTTATTAAAATATATCTTTTTGATTAAAAAAGAAAAAGGAAAATAACAATATTTTTAATAAAATGAATTAAGAAATGCAAATATAAAATTATTTTTTAATATACATAAATAAAAAATTAAATAATAAAATAATACAATTATTATAAATATATATAAATGTATATAAGTATTTATATATATATAATATATATTTATATAAATATATATAATAATATATATATAATTATATATATATATATTTATATATTTTTAATGTCTTTATAATATGATTTTTAAATAAAAAGAATATTTTTATGATAATATAAATTATAATAGAGTTTATTTATAGAAAAAAATATATCTATAAATAAAAAACTTATAATTATAATAAAAAAAAAAATATAAATATATTATTTACCATATAAATAAAATAAAAATAAACATGTATTATCAAAACATATTATAAGAAAATTATTCGGACAATTCAGATTAACATTCAAATAAAACCGAAGAAAGCAATAACAATATGGGATTATCTAAAAAAAAATACTCTACAATTCCTTAAGAAATACGCGAGAAATTCATCTAACGAGTTCTTTCAAAAGAAGTAACAATTAAAGAAGCAGCAAAAGAATTCGGAATTAAATTCTCCACATCTAAAGCAATATTATAAACATATAAGCGAGAAGGTCGAATAGGTAAAAAGAAAACTAGATAAAGAAAAGTTAAACTAATAAAAGGTGAAAATTAATAAATTAGTAATACTGAAAACTCATATAGTCAAAATAATTAAAATTAAAAAAATTAAAATAATAATACAAATAATATAAACGAAAATAATATCTCTAATATAGATTTAGAATTAAAAAATACTCTATTATAAATGCAAAATTTAATATATAAAAATGAATTTGACGATAGTAATTAATTTTTGCCTTCTGTGGATATTTTCTAAAATCCTTTTTCATCTTTATAGTTTGAATTCTTTAAAAATGAAAACTTACCTTTTTAATAAATGAATTCCTTGGATGAGGATTTGCATAAAATAAAAGGTTAATTAAAAAATTTAACAACAACAAAAATAAAAGAAAACTGTATTAATAATAATTAAATTTTTAATAATAGTGAAATTATTGATTTCAATTATTATTATTATATGTGATAACAAAATTTAATATATAAATAAATATATATATTTATTAATTATATATTTTCTTTTTAAATTATTATAAGTTTTTATTGAAATATTTTAATTTTTTAAAAAAATTGGATATAATATTATTTGTTTTATTTATTTTTATTTTATTCTTTTGATTATTATTATTTATAATGTTTTTTAACTTCAGTTCAATATTTTTATTTTTATTTTGCTTTATTTTATTTTATTTTATTTTATTTTATTTTATTATATTTTATTTTATTATATTTTATTTAATTTGCCTTTAGTTTTTATTTTAAATTATATAAAATATATTATTTATTTTCTTATTTTATTTTATTAACTTATTAACTATATTGAATTATATTTATTATAGTTTTTATATAATAATAAATAAAATAATCAGACTTAGAAATAAATTATTTTTATATTTTCCAATTTAAATATAATATTTTATATATTATTTATAAAATAAATGATTAAACTCTATTAATAACTAAAAAAATAAAAAATTAATATAAAAACGCAAAAATTTAATATAATTTCCAAATAATATCTCCATAATTAAGCATTTATATAAACTTAACTGCCCTTAATTTTCCCTTTAGATCTAATACTATGAAAATCTTCAATCAGTTTTAACTATTTCCAAAGTAGATTAAACATTTAACCTTTTCAAAATATTTCCTACTTTTATTAAATTATATGTAAAATTTCAAAATAGCTAATATTAATATAAAAAAATTATATCCTCGATTAATATTTTAATTAAATTTACATTAAATATCAAATTATTAATTAGCATTCTGATATGAATTTACTGCCATCCAAAACTTCATGGTAATTAACCATCATAAAAGTCTATAATTATTAAGGATGATTATGTCTTTTAATAATATAATGTCTCAAAAATAAATCTAATCAAGATTTTTATTTAAGTTTATAAACTAAAAAATTATTTATAATTTATAAAATTTTTAAAATTCTTAAACCTTTCTAATATAATAACGTAAAGAAAAATAAGGATATCATAATAAATTGTACAAATAAATATATTTAAATTGATTTTAATAATAAATATAGTAAAAAAATAAAAAGATTTGTTAATTTTAATTAAATATATATTTAAGAGTAAAAAGTAATAGTAATTTATAATTATGATATTGTTTTTATTTTAACTAATTAAAATATTATTATATAAAAGAAATTATATAGATTAAGATATAAATATCTTGTTTTAAAAATTGTTTAAATAAAAAAAAAATAAAAAAAATTAAATTAAATTAAATTAAATTAAATTAAATTAAATTAAATTAAATTAAATTAAATTAAATAAAATAAAAAAAAGATAATTATATAAATTTTATATTTATATAAGAATTAAAAAAAATTAATTTTAATAAAATTCCCTTATTTTAACATTAATTAGATAAAAAATATTCAGATTTTTTCTTTTAAAAATAAAAAAAATAATATATATATATTTAATAAATTTTAATATATTAAAATTTAAAATAAAAATTTAATTTTTATTGAATTACATTTTATATATATTAATTATATTAAAATTATTCAGATTTTTTTTTTTAATATAAAAAAAAATATATATATAATCAATTAATTTTAATATATTTATTTATAAATTTTAGATATTTATTTTATATAAACACGTATTTATAAAAGCTTAAATTACTTTTTTATTAAATAGAAAAATAAATTTATTTTATATTAATTAATTATAATTATTTTTTATTAATTTTTTTTATTTATAAATATTTTAATTAAATTAATTTAAATATATACATTTAGAATTTTATTATATTTATAATTATTAAATAATTACTTATATATTAGTAGAAGATATAATATCAAAAATTAGTTATATAAAATATAAAATAAAAAAATTATAATTAAATTATTTGTATTTATATATATTTATTTATATTCATATTTAATAAATATTTATTTAAATAAAAAATATTTATATATATTTCATATAAATATATAAATAAAAAATAAATATAATTTTTATTTATATATATATTTGCAATCTTTATTTTACAAATTTATAATATGTTATTTTATTATAATTTTATCAATAATAAGTTTATTAACTTTTTATTATATATAATTTAATTTTTTTTTTATAAAATAACTTTTTATAAAAATAATATATCCATAATAATTTTTTTTTAATCGTATATATATATATATTTTTTTTATTTATCTTTTATTTATTTTTTTTAAAAAAAATAAATATTATTAAATACAATTAAATAAATAAATATAATACAATAAAATATATAAATACAAATAATTATAAATATTATTATAATTTTATTTTATAAAAATAAATTATTATAGATTATATTTACAAAAAAAAATATCTTCAAAAATATTTGTCTAATTCTGTATAATTATCCACTGGTTCTTTTATATTTTTAAAAACCTCTTCTCCTACCTAAATCATTTTCTTAAATTATTTCTAAACAACATTCTTTCCAACCAAAAGATCTTACCCTGGTAAAAACGGTGTTTCCATTTCTTTACTAAACAATTAATCCCAATCAAAACCACTAAACCATCCTTAACTTTTAAGCGCTGAAAATGACCCATCCAACCTTAATTCCGGTACTTTGTTAAGCATTTAATATATAAAGCCTTTTGCTTTTAAATCTTTAAAAAAGCTCGGCAATTTAATTTCTTCAGTGTCACAAATTTCCTTATATATCTAATACGGATCATCTGAATTTTCACCAAAAGGTAGAAATCCGCACATAAACTCAAAAGCAATAATCCCTATACTCCATAAATCTACAAAAAAAGAATACCCTTTCCCCCTTATAACCTCCGGAGCCATATAATGCGGAGTTCCTATAATAGTAAAAGTTCTATCCCCCTTATTTAAAAATTTTGAGGCCCCCAAATCTATCAAATAAAGGTACCCTTTTGAATCCACCATCAAGTTTTCCGGTTTTAAATCTCTATATACGATAAATTTAGAATGCAAAAACTCAATAATAAGTATCATACAGCCAACATAAAATTATGAGTCGAAACTCGACAAAAGCCCTATTTTTCGAATCGCATCAAATAACTCGATCCCATCTATATATTCTAGTAAAAAATATAGACTTTATGTATCTTTAAAAGGCTTTATATAATTCATTATTAAGGGAAAATTTAATTATTCTAATACTTTTTTTTCCTATATAACGAATTTTTGTAATTTCTAATTTTTTATTTGCCCCTTTTCTAGACTTTTCAAAGCAAATAAATCCCCTGTATTTTTATTTTTGACCAAATAAACAGACCCGAACTGGCCTTAACCTAATTTTTTGATAAAAATAAGATCTTTCAATTACATTTCTTTTTTATCAGTAGATAAAATAGGATTATTAGCCAAAAGCTTTTTCATTTAAACTTCGTGAGATTTTAAATTTTTCTAAACTACATTATTAAAACTTCCCCCAATAATTTTATAAAAAAGCTTAAAAGAAATAACTGCCAAAATAGAATCTTCCCAAACCAAAATCCTCTCTTAAAATTTAATATTATCATCTTATAAAAACTACTCTCCAAAAATCTATCTTTATTCAGCTAAACACCTACCGTTTTCGGTACATATTCTTCCTTCTAAAACTGCAAAAATGCAATCACAAAAATCTCCTTATTCAAAAAGGACATTTCCTTTTTAATATTTGGTAATTTTCATATTTTACAATATTTTCTCAATTTATATTTTAGTTAATTTTTTCATCACTATATTATTCTCAACTGCCCATCTTTTTTAATTACTGAAAACTATTTTCTATATTTATCCGCCTAAAATTCTCACTAAATCATTTTTTCCTAAAGATAATAAAATACTATCATCTTCGGTTCTCACTGTAGCCTATATAACAGCATTTTTTACATAAAGACTTTGTTCTCCAAAAGAGTCTCCTTTATTTAAATCTCCTAATTTTGTTTTTCCTTTCCAAATAGATACAAACCCTTCTTTAATTAAAAAAAAAGAGTTTGAAGGTTCTCCTTCTGTTACTATAATTTCATCTTTTTTGAATTTTTGAGGAATAACAGCTTAAGCAATTGCATCTTTTTAACTCTCAGACATTTAAGAAAAAAACTGAGCCTATTCCATGAATTTTCTGGTCGCTTAGAACTCTTTTTTAATGATTTCTTCCATTAAAATTTTAAATTCCTATCTCTAAATACCCCAGAACTCCATATCAGTCAAACATTTAATACTAGCAGACCTCGGAGCACTATATAATAGTGCAAGTTCACCCACTCCATTGCCTTTTTCGAGGGTTTTTTTGACGTTTTCGTTTATTTCTACCGCTACTTTTCCGGAATTTATTAAAAAAAAGGCATCTGCATAATCTCCTTATTTAAAAAGATATTCATTTTTTTTACAAGTACAATGAAACATATGATTTATAATATGAATTAATTAATCTTCCTATAAAGAGAAAAAAAAGGAGTTATTTTAGAAGCATTTTAATATGAATAAAACATCTTAATTAGATGGTTTTTTATTAGTTTTTATATAAGAGAAATTATATTTAGATTCTCCCAATTAAATATTATTTAAGTGATTTTTCCTATCATTTTTTAAATCTGCTCTTAAATTAATTTAGTTTTTTCTAGGAGATTACTCAGAATTATTTATACTATTACTTCCTTAAAAAAAACTACTATTATTATTTTCTTCTTAAATAAAATCAACTTTATCAATATTTTAACCAATAAGTTCTTAAAAATCAAAATCAAAAAATTAATCTCTTGGTGTATTCTAAGCGACAATTTTACGAAATCCACTGCTTGCTATCTATGATGAATAACGGCAAGGTGTATTTAACTATTATAATTAAAAAGATATATTTGCATTTCTTCCATGGATTGTTAAATTTGGTCTCTAAGATGAATTTTGATTATTACTGATAGATTAAAATGGATTTTAAGAATTTTTTTTTTTTTGTGCTTCTAAGGGAAGAATTTTAGATTTTTAACAACCCATAATATATATTATATTTTTATAAGTTTTTTTTAATATTTATAATTTTTAATTTTATTTATATAAAATATATGTAGTATTTAAATATTTAATAATTTTTTAATAAAAATTACTATTTTTTTAAATATTTTAGTTTATATATATAAATTATCTATGATTGTAGAAATATCAAGTAAATTCATAATAAAAAATTAAGTTAAATTATATACTTTTATAAATATAATTTATTAAAATTCTAATGATAATAATGATATTTTTTAAATATAAATAATTATAAATTAAAATATAAAATATGAAAAAAAAAAAAAAAAATTATATAAATGAATATATAATATATATAAAAGGTAATTTATATATATATATATATATTTATATATATATATAATAATTATTAATATTATACTTTAAAATATATATTTTTCTTATTTATTATTTTTTATAAAATTTTTAAAAATAAAGTATATCAATAATAATTTTTTATATAACTTTCGAATATTATTTGAAAAATAAAAAAATAAATAAATTAAAATATATATAATTATTATTTTTAATAATAAAAATTTTAAATTTATTAATAATTTTTAACATTATTCATTTTTTTTTAAATATAACATTTTGGTTTATTATTTTATTTTTGTATTTATATTGAAAGTCAATTATATTTTTAAAAAAGATAAATTTTTTATTTTCTTTTTCAAACCTATATTTTTATTATTTTATAAATAAAAAATTATATTTTTTGGTTATTTTTAATTTAAAATTATATATATTCGCATAATTCTTTTAATATATTCTGGTTTACTCTGATATTTATATTTGTAGCAAAATAATATGTTAAACATATAATGGATTCGATTTAATAATGCTTAAAATAATAAAAAATTCATTTTATATTTATAGTTTTTTTATAAAGAAAAAAAAAATACTTGTTATTTATAAGCTCTTACAATATGATATATAAAATCATATTTTATATATAAAATTATTATATGTTATGAAACAATTTGAAATTTGATTGATTTATTTAAAAAATCAAATAAATATAATTATTTTATATAAAATAATTTTACAATATTAATTAAATATTATTATAAAATTAAAATAGTGAAATATCTACATAATATTATTCATATGTTAGTATTTATTTGTATATTTTTATTTTTAAATTAAATAAATAATTTTCTTATATATAATTTAAATCAAATAAAAAAATTGAATAATATCTAATTAAAAAAATAAAGATTAAAAAAAACAAATTAATATAAAATTCTATTATATTTAATTATAATTACTTAAAATATCTTTATCATTTATATTATTTAAAAAAAAAAAAAAAATTAAAAAACCGTAATATTATTATAATTTATTTTTATTATTATTATTAATATTATTATTATTATTATTATTATTTATTATTATTATTATTATTTATTTTTATTTTTTACTTATTATTTAAAACTAATAATATATTTATTTTAAA